AAATTTGAATCTCAGATTAGCGGAATTTGTAATAAGATCTTCGGCCAAATTACTCCCGCTAATCTGAGATTCAAAAATTGGGTAGAGGGGTGGTGCTTAATTTCGGAACTATACGGTACTTCTAAACTTCAAAAGTCCGATTTACGTTGTTTAACCCTAACTGCATCAAAAAAAACTAACCCTAAACGAACCTGGCTTTAACATTCCCCCTTATTTAGATCTTCTACAATTGTTGTACGTACGTACGTGTGTAGTTTAAGAGTAGTTCTTAATTAGATATAACGCCTTAACGGACCCCTAAATAAGGTTATATATGTACAAAATAGTAATATTATTCACACATGTTAGGTAATACAATGTACCAATCAAAGAAACGTTCAAGTGGGTAAATAGTGACAAACCTTTAATTGTAGGTATAGTAGGGAATTATTGCAAGGAATTGTTCGTTTTGATCTCATTGATTAATATACTCAAAAATTAAATAAAATTAAATAAAACACAATATGTTTTCACGAAAAATTTTCGCTGTTTTGTAATTTTTGCATGTTACGGAGTATAAAATGTCTCAACAATATGAAATTAATTTTTAATGTTCTTCGGAAGTATGCCATATTTCACTTAATGATCAGCTGCGATTCACAAATAAAGGGGTAAAAATAAAAATCTTGTGAAATTTGTTTTCATACAATAATAAACAATAAAGTATAACTTTTGGTGTCTCAAGCACATCACTCAATGGACTCAACAATAGTTTGATTTTTCTGTTTAATCATCAGATTGTTTTTTTTATCAAGTTCATTGAGAAAAGTGCTTGAAAGTACCTTCATTTTTGGTAATGTTTAGTAGTATTGGAGCGGTGTTAATTTATAAATTCCGACTTTAAGAATCTAATTATCTATAATAATCAAAACCCTTTATATTGCTTAATTCTGCACTTTAAATTACTTAAAAGTTTTTAAGTTTTCATCTCATGAGTTATATAATTTAACTTTACATAATGAAAAAAGTTTTAATTCCCCTTTATCTACATGAATCTGGATGTTGTTCTGGTGATTGCCAACCTGGCCATTCGTTCAGAGCGGACTGGTGCCTTGACCTTCATGGTTTTTTATCCAAAGAGGAGTTCGCTGCTAGAATTGATCAAATCAATAATCATGTTAAAGGTGTTGAACTAATGACTCGAAAAACAAAAAATTTATTATATTCAATCTCTTCTACTGCTACTGTTCTGTTAATAATTATCTTAACAATAATTGTACCACGATTTGGTTGGGCTATAGGCTTCATTTTATCTTCAGTTGGATACTCTATTGCCAAATATATGATTGAAAAAAATGCTTGTGAACGCGCATTAGCATTTACAAATCTCTTGAATGATCTATTTGCACGATACAATGAAAAAGAAACTCCAACTGTTAATTGGAAATTCTGGTGGGTCTCATCTTACAACAGTTATGCTAATAATTTGGAAGGGAGAGCTTTCGGTAATGGTCATATAAACGTGTTAAAGATCGGTTTTTGTCTCAGCCTTAAACTTGCTGCACTATTTGCTGATAATGCATTAATAATTCTTGAAATTAATGATGCTCTATCTGATCTTACCGCCAACACTGTTCGTGTGAATATTGCTCCTGATAATAATTATTATAATGGGATGACGTTTGTTAATAATGTTCCTGTTAATACCGTCCCTGTTAACAATATTCCTGTTAATAATGTCCCTATTAATTCTGCGCATGTCATTAACGTGAAGTATAATTAGTGTTAAATAATTTTATTTTTTCATTTTGTAATTTATTATTATGTATTATTTACGAAGCTCATTGAAACATATATATATATATATTTCATTATTTAAATTGTCGAAAATGATTAATTATATTGTGTAAGAAATAACCCGAAATCCTTTTGATCTAAAAGATTTTTCATTATTATAATGATCATATTCAAATAATTTGCCATAATTTAAGGTATAAAAATCATTCAATTATTACTACACAAATTTATCTTTTCTTGATCAAATTAATTATTGTCGCTGATGATGTGAAATTAAACCTATATAATATACAATTTTCAAATTTTTTGGAGTACATTTCTTTTTTTTTTAGTTTATAATGCTCTCTAATATCTAAGTTAATAGTCAAATTTTAATTAGTGGAAATTAGTTTAGTCGGTCAAGCGAGTCTATTACCTTAATGAAAAAACAAACACGTCTTTTTTTATCATATAGTTGTGAGTAGGGATGGGTTATAGCCGGCTAGCTGACCGGCTATAGCCGTAGTCGATGATAGTCGACTAGATCGGCTTAGCTGACCGGCTAGCCGATACCAAATTTTTTATTTCCTGGTTGATAAATGGTAATTATTGCTTTACCTAGCTGCTCGTCACAGCAGATTCTCGATTTTGATTGGCTAAGAGCAACGATCAAAAATTAAGGCTGAAATTGCTCGAAATTTTACCAATGAAATCACATCTACCATTAAGTGAAAAATGTTCCTGAATTAATTTTACCATTGTGGAGGCCTATTTCCCTAAAAATTTCTGTTTTTGTAATAAAAAAGTTAGAGCCTTAATTCCGGCCAAAAATTACGTAACAATTGTATAATGCGGGTCAAAATTTTGTAGACCACGGCATTTAGCTAATTAAAATTAAGAATCTAAAATGGTGCGACAGTTAAGGTATTTCATTGTAAGATACTAAAAGACAAGCATGCTTTATATAACAATCGAGCATTTTTTGTTGATGATTTGCAATACAGAATTTTAATAATAATAAATAATCACAGTTTGCAAAATTTATCCAATTTCAATAATTTTTTTAGTTTAATTCTTTAAACATACAGAATTAAGATAAAAAAAAATTTCATCGAATTTAAATCAATGGTTGTTGAGAAATCTTGTTTAAAGTTAAAAAAAATAAATAAAATTTGCTGATTTTTTGTAAAATTCAAATAATTTTTAGTGAAAATTTCTCAACAACCATCTATCAAATTTTTTTTATTTTAAATTATACATTTAAAAAAATTTTACTGAGTCTAATCAACCGCTATAATCTTGAAAGTTTTTCAAAGCAATCTAATTCTGATCAAATTTGCAGATTGTTTGGCCTATTTGGGATTAGTTTAAAACTCATCCCCAATAAGCCAACCGATCTGCAAATTTGACCAGAATTAGATTGTTTTGAAAATTCTGATCATTTGGATTGGCTTTTTATAGCATGTGACCCGAATTTTTTAGCCATGTCTAGAAAAATTGATTAAGAAATTGATCAAGTAATTTATCGGCTATAGCCGGCTACTAGTCGATAGTTGATGGTAGCTGACCGTAGCTAACCGAACCCATCCCTAGTTGTGAGATATGAATCTTTAGCAAATTGTCGTAAGGATTACTTCAATTAATCGTAGTACTTGCTAATTAATTGAGTGAAATGCTTGTGAGCACCATTAGACAATGATTTAAGGTTTATAATAAAAGAGTATAGGTGGATAAATACTTATAAACAAGATACATGTCATGCAAATACAGTAGCTACGTGAAATATAATTAATTTTTGTGTATTAAAATTTAGGACAAATTCTCATGTTTTACCCACTCATTATTGTAGTGAAACAAGGTATGTATCCGTGGTCATGATTAGGGCTCTGCAAGTGGGCACGCCGGGCATATTGGCACCAGGCCAGGCACTAGTGCCTCATGCCGTGCCCATGCCTAAGGCATAAAAGTGCCAGGCATTACTGTGGGCATGGGCACAAATGCCAGGCATTTTATAGGCATGGACACAAAAGTGGCAGCACTATTATGGCACAGCACAAAGGTGGCAGGCACTATTATGGGCACGGCCAGGCACTACTAAGGGCATGCCAGGCACTATTATAGGCACAGGCAAAAAAACATGACCAGGGTAAAATTGCCACCCAAAAAAGTTTCAAAAATAATGTGGTATTGTCAATTCATCATGCTTAAAATCATGATAATAATATTCAATAAAGTATTAATTAGGCTGTTTGAAGTTATTTTTTTGGTTAACATTACTTTTCAGAACTCTCGGAAGAGAGGTGGAGGGGCAAATGAAATGAACATATAAAATGAACAAATTATTTTTAATGTAGTAAATATATTATAACAAATTGACTTCAAGTTAAACTTAGTCTAGAGATTCTAGTTGAGTTGCTAATTAGGTCAGATAAATTTGATCAGTAGTTAACATTGTATTCCTATTATAAAAGAGAGAAGCAAAATAAATAAATAAATAAATAAATAAATAAAAATTATATAATGCATTTATTTGAAAAAAAAAACTTCATATGTACAATTTTTACAGTCAAACTGAAATTTTGGGTTTACTAATTCCTCCAAGTTCCTATTAGTCAGTGAATACAAAATTTGTCCTTCATTGAATGAAATAAATCACTGATTAGATGGTAGTGTTTGCATGTCCAGTTCGAGTCTGGTAGAGTTCGAGTTCAAGTCTGATCAAACCCGAACTCGAACTCTAAATTTTGCAGATCTTTGAACTCAAACCAGAACCAAACTTTATTATTTGAACTCAAACCAGACTCAAACACAACTAATAGTTTGGTTCGAGTTCAGTTTGAAAGTTCGCAAACTAGTTCGGGTTTGATAGAGATGTGATCTATTATCTATTTTTCTATTTAAAGCTAAAAGATTCTTTATAATAATTTTGTTATATAATTAAATTAAAGGATATCCCAGATTGCATCTCTAATTCTAAACAAATATTCAACCCTGTACCAAATTATAAAACTAGTTTGGAAAATTTTTGTATTAAATAACTAAAATTTTTATACAGAGTATTTTTAAATAATTTAAATGATATAATTTATTCTAGAAGTTTAATATGCTTCGCACCCCTGCGTTAAGGTTATATATCGCACCTTAATATGATTGGCTAATTTTGCAGATCATTATTTATAATAAAATAAACAAATTTTGATTAATTTTCTTTAGATTAAAACTAACTTATAAAAAATTAAGAAAATAGTTAAAATGTTTTGCAATTATATGCAAAATTCGATGCTGAACAAGTTTAATTAGAAACAAAAAAGATATTGACATAATAAAATCTAGAGAAAATATAAAAAATATGCAAAACAATGTGAAAAATACAAATATCTTTAAATTTTATTATGCTAACCTTTTTAAAGTTTCTAAGTAAACTTGTTCAGCATCAAATTTTGCATATAAATGCAAAAATAGTAGCATTTTTCTTGATTTTTCTTTAATTTAAAAAAAATAATAAAAAATTGTTTTTTTACAAAATAATGATCTGCAAAATTAGCCAATTATATTTAAGTGCGATATATAAGCATATCACAAGGTGCGAGATATGCATTTATTCTTTATTCTATATATAAAAAAAGATTTAACAAAAGAATAATAAAAAGCAAAATAAACGTTAAATATCATTTGGAACATCTATATTAGCAGATTTACTAAGATTTAGTTTTGATAAACTTTCACTAATTTTCAAAGTGTTAAATAGTTTGCTAATGTATATATTTTTTAGCTCTTCTTTAAAATATATATTTAAAAATAAAAATGATTACGCTAATTTACCAATTAAATTGCTCACAATAGTTTGAAAAAAATATATATGTTCATCAAAGCTAAACCAAAATATTCTCAAATTTGTGCTAAAAGTTTTAAAATTTGAAGTAAATTTGTTCTCAACTATCATATTTCTTAACTATATCTAAAAAAAAATAATAATCTATAATAAAAAATCAAAATTTAGCAAAATAAAATTAAAAATTAAAAATACTTTGAAAATACTTTAAGTTATTAATTCCAAACATACACCTCACATTAATGCAGCCACCACCTCTCTAAAAGAAATATCCCTTGTAGTTAGAGAGGAAAATGATGTAAGTGGGCAGGTGGTTAAGCCCATTTACCCGGAAGGGATAGAATTAA